ACAATTTTAATTTACATATTCAGAAACTAAAGGCTGTTAGCTTTCAAATAATGTACTGCACATGTCATTTCCTAAGTTATTTGCTTCCATTTGACTATGCAAAATAGGTGAGAATTTCCCAAAACAAGGTGGGTGTTTAATAGAAATCCAATTGGAGATTTTCCAAAAATTACAGCCGGCACATATTTTCGTATCGCCACCATTTCTTAACAGTTTGATGTACAAACAAGACACTTGGTATAGAACATCCTCAGACCCTTCAAGCTCTCACACTGAAGCACTTCTTTTAATATCATTTATGGTTACGCTGTTTAACTGACTTGTTTGACATTAAAAACATTGATTCTGATAAAAAGCCTCCGACTGAAATCTTTCAAAACATTCCACATTTTTACATCGTCGCCATGGGAACACGGTTTTTGGTCGTCTTATGTATGTGATAAAACAATACATCGTTTAATGGTACTATTTTGTGATTGATGTGGAAGAACACTGAATATGGTATCAGCGCATTGATCTCACTGTGTTCTGGAAAATATGCTGAATAAAACAAAGTCGTGTTCCACTGAGGTTCTGTTAAGTTTATATAGTTACGTTATGGAAAGAAACATAAACATGAAAGTTGGCAGATTTGTTAACCCTTTAAAGCCCGAACAAAATAGAAAATTACTTTTTTTTTTTTGGTTTGAAGTCCTTATTTGCCCTTCTAATAAAATAAGTAAAAAGAAAAAACAGAAATACATTTTTGATATTAATAATTTATTACTATGCGATGTGTAGTCTTCTGCCCTCTGTTATCAGGTATATCTGATTGTGTACAATAGGATTTTGAGCAAAGTTTTTACCATTAAATTATGCAAAAGGTGTCAGACGCAAAACATTTGAGAAACCGTATGTATCAAATATGATACATTTGGCATTACAGGGTTAATGAAAGCCTGCTGATTTCCAAGGTCTAAACATTATTTCTGTATCTATTATGGTTTTTGATTATATTACACAGAGTTTAACACAAAGTTTTTTTCAAATTTTACATTTTCAGAAAAGGAGGACGGGTGGGGGGGGCGTGGGGCAACCCAAACCAACCCGACCCGGTGACGGTATGCTTCCCCCCGCCTGCATATAAGGCAAGAATATACCAAGGGTTGAAAAGGGAGGCTGTGGCTTAACATGTTTTAAAATGGACGCGTCTCCCAAGCCTTTTAATGAAACTTGGTGTGAAACGTCTTCAGGTCCTTCTGGCGCCATATTGAAGGAATTTAACAGTGCAGCTGGGTTGTATCTATTATAGTGTTATTCATATGGTTTTCTGTCCTGTCCTCTCAGTCTACACGCATATTAGCTCATATAGTGTTGCATGTGGAACGTGTTGCATTTCTAAACTTAAGAGTTTTTTTTTTTTCTCGTTTATAATCAGCCTGTTTCTGCTATTTGCTTCTCTCTGATTCCTCTATTTTCAGGAAGGCAATCAAGCTTTTTCTCTGCTCATTTCTAACACTTCACCAAGTTTCGCTTGTTTCTGTATTAATTTTCTGTCCATATTTCACATTACTTCAACTTTTAAACCCTTTAATCAATCTTCTTATGTAGCTGCTCATCCAACATTCTTCAAGATGTTAGTATCTATCCTAAAACCAAAACCTTTATTTTCTTTATTTCCGTTGATATATGATTAGCTGAATTTAGCTGTTCAGTCTGACGTAGAACTAACTGGCCTGCATGAGATAAAAAAACACAGATTTTAAGACAGGATTTTTTTTTAAGTAGACATTTTCTAACTTTTGGAACAATATCGTCTGATAAGAAGTACATATTATATACGTGTTTATGCCAGAAGGATTTTAATTTAACCCTTTAAAGCCCGATCCAAGAATGAAACAAAACAGAAAATTACTTTTTTTTTGGTTTGAAGTCCTTATTTGGCCTTTTAACAAAATATGTAAAAAGAAAAAACAGAAATAGAATTTTGATATTAATAATTTATTACTATGCGATATGTAGTCTTCTGCCCTCTGTTATAAGGTATATCTGAT